GGGGGGGGGGGGGAGAAGAAGAGTCTTTGCCCTATCTACTCCGCGTGCTCCTTCTGTGATTTCTCCCTTCTTAACGATAAGAGCAACACTGGTGGTCACTTCTTGCAATTCTGCGTGCGATACACTGAACATGTACAAGCACCCCCGCCCCCCCTTCTTTCTTCTGTCCACGGCAAAAAAAAAACACTCAACACAACACGGAACAGTCCCTCCTAGACCTGAAAGTGGAGGAGAAGAAGCTGGCCCTGGCGGCCTTGGAGGGCGCGGCGGCTAACCACTTCGACGGCGTCGGCGCGGTGATGAACGCTGCGGTTTCCTTCTCCGAAGACTCGGACGACGGCGCCTCGCAGGAGTTCGGGGAGGAGAGCGACTTCATCGACGGAGGTTTGTTTTTTCTTTGGGGTTGTTGTCTCCATGTGTCGTTGTTGCCGGTGTTGGCGCTCTAAGCTCTAGTCGTGGTGGGTACTATATTGTTGTGGTTTTTTCTGTTTGTCGTAGTCGTCGTCGTCTTCATCGTCCCGTCGTGGTTGTTGTTGTTGTTGTTCGCTTGCTGTTTTTTGTCGTGTTTGGAAGACGCGATGTGCGATGCGAGAGATGCTGGCTAGGGCGCATGCCGGCCCCAAAAGCAGCCATGTACCCCGGCCAAGCCTGGTTTTGGGCACGACCCTTATCCCTGTCCTTCTCGCGAAGGAACGTGTCTATGTAGGAATAACATACTTATCTCACAAGAGACGTGCCTCTATCGGACGCGTTGTCCTTGTTCTTCTCACGAAGATATGTGTGTTGATATGTGTGTTTTGTGTAGTAGAACGAATCGCGGCTTCTTTGTATCAGGCAAGATAAGTACTTGGACCTCATATCGGGCGCGGTGGTTGGTTGGTCGGGTGTCGCTTGCGCGTTTGCAGAGGACGCGATCCGAGCCATGCTGGACAGGGATGCCGATGAGGCGGAGGACGACAACCTCTTCAGCATCCCTGCGGGCACCGACTTCGGCATCCCGCTGGACGACGACGACGACGACGACGACCAAGATTGCAGTGCGGACGCCTTTGACATCACGTACCACGGTTGAGTACGTTGATTGGTTGGCTTTCGACGTCGCTAGCTAGCTTTTTTCCAACCCTTTGGTTTGAATCGTGTAGTTTTGTGTCGTCTTTCTGTCACCGGCATCAGCAAGCGTGTCCGAGGGCCTTCGCCTGCTACGGTCTGAGCAGTTGTTGGACTTTTTTTGCCTTTGGGCATCGCTTCTTATTTGCTTTTCTTGAGGCTTTCGGCCTCCTCATGCCGTGGGAGGATGATGGATGGAATGATTCACGGGATGGGGCGGATCGGATGTCGGGAAACTTGTGCAACTAGCTCGAGGGAAGAAGAGGAGGGAGAGGAGAGAGACAGAAGGGAACGCACACCTTGTCTGCATGCTTTGTGCGTTTGTTTCGGTTTCCTGTCGTTGGTTTTGTTTTGATCACCCTTGTTGTGCTTACGAGATAACGGCATCGATGTCGGCATGGATTTGGGGTTGGAGTGTCATTGTGACGAAAAAGGATTGATATAGTTTAATGGATCGTTGTTCTTGTCGGTAATTTTTCTGTGTTTTCGATTTGAGGGCGTGTTGCCAACCTTCACTAGTTTTCGAAAGTCCAAGAGATAAAGGAGAAGGAGAGACAACTTCGTTTTGTCGGCTCTGGGCTCAACAGAAATAGCAGTAGTGGCGTTCAGGCGGTAACACGAATAGTTACGGTAGCACGGACGGATATACAAACGTTGGCAAAACCTGGAATATAAGAAACGATGCCAAGTCGCTGCGGAATTTCCACCGTTGATGGTGTTGGGAGGCGACAACTGTACGTCGCGCTACGTCCTCTCTCAGCGCGGGGGGGTGGGTACCTGTTCCAATGCCTCCAGGTGATGTGCGGCTCGTGATACCATGCGGTGGAGAGCGGGCGGAGAGCATCGGAGGTTGGCCTTTGTTTCCCGGCGCATCAAAGTCACAGGGCGATTTGGCTGGTTGTGTGTTGTGTTTGTGTGCTTTTGGTGGCCGTGGTGGGGTGGTTTCCGATGATGTTGGTTTTGTTTTTTGTGAAGGAAGAGTCAGCGAAGACTACAGTGTTTCATGGAGAGGCGATTTGGTTTGTCGGCATTTTTTTTCTTTTTTCCCAGCAGGACGGACGATCCCCCCCACACGCGAACACACAGTCTCCCTGTTGCTTTTTTGTGAAATGTTTTTTGTCACTTGTGTCGGGCGCCCGACCCGAGTGGATCAACATAGCAGTAGGTGGCAGAGAAAGAGAAAATGAGAGATATCACACATCACTGCACGATGGTGCTGGTGGCGGGCGGATGTCGTACCCACTTGAAAGCGAGGACAAAGGCAACGCCCCCCGTCCGCTTCTTCTGTCGTTAGTGAGAAGAAAAGGAGGTTGTGCTCTAAGACGATGTTTCAGTGCACCTTGCCCGTGTTTACCGTTTTTACTAGACTCACGGTAGTGACTCTCTTGGGCTATCACTCTCTCCCTCTCTCTTTCCATCTAGTCTATGGGGTGAGCATGGTGCTGTGCCTACAAGCTCTGTTTTGGCGGCTGCATCTGTCGCAATATGGTGTTCTCTATGTAGATGCTCGTGCGACTACTTTGGCGTCCAAGTATTGACTATTGGACCAATACGATCATCGCCCCGCGGATCTTGCCCTTTATTCCTTCAAGTTTTTTGGTTTGGTGTGTGTTGTTGTGCGCCCCCCGCCCGTAGCTGTGGTTGGTTTGGCTGGAATATCCACCACGTGGGGGTGCGTCCTCGATTTATTTGTCTATTGGCCGAGTTTTAGTCAATCGGTGTCGTGTTCCAGCCAGCACTTACGAAAGTAGTTGCTGGGTTAGGGTTAGTGAGCAGGCTTTCGTGGTCGCGGTGGGAAGGAAACAAGCGGTAGAGAAAGAAAAGGTTTTGGTTTCAGTTCCTCGTCTTGTTTTATTTTTTGTCCCGCCCGCTTGGTCGAACCAATGGCGCGAACGAAATGCCAAACATGTTGTACGACGGCATGGTGCAATCCCTCTCTTCCCCCCGCTGTTGTGTTTGAGGGTTCATCCTGTGAGAAAGGAACTCTTCTTTTGTAACAAGCAAGCACGGAGGACGCGTGTGCGTTGGTTTTATTCTTTTCTTTTGCTTTCATCCTGTACCATTGGTTTGTTCGACGTATGCATATGCAAATGTTAGATCGAGTTACCACGGTTTTCCGAATGTAGCTTACATGTAGTAATTTACAGGGAACCTGTTCATAGCTAGGGGGTGCCTAGCAGTGATGATGGCTGGGCTTTGCAAATGATGTGTCCCGCCCTCTGTTTCTTGTTATCGGAGTTTCTGCCTGTACAAGCAAGTGCCGGAACTTACGATACAGGACCTGCAGCGTGTGCTTTAGTTTCACCTTGTGGAGGGAATTGTTGACAAGACCGTTAAACGGGCACCGCAGCAGGATTGGGAGCGGGGAGGGGGGCGGTGTACTCATAGTCGTGCATGCCGTCGGTAGACCATTGACCTCGCATCCCTACAAAGCCGGGACGGATCACGCCGGGTTCTCACCGGACCAGGCTCTCACATCACCAAGCGCGAAGCGCCGTGAGGGTTTAGGCGAGTCGCATGAAGGGTGCGCTGCATCCTGCTAAGGGTGTTCGGCATCTTGTGCTTTTTTCCTTGCGTATGGATGATAGCTGCGTATGACTTAATTCGTTTTCCGGTGCGTTCACTTCCAGAGACCGTTATGAGCACTGTGTAACTGCCTGGAGGGTGCTTGACCATTTTAACACAACGTTATGCGATCATCCCCCTTGCGCGGAGTGAGGGTTCTCCACCCCGCACATCATGATCTACTCGACCACCATTATGGTTACCGACAAAAAACAAACCAGAGGCAAAAAAAGAACGGTAACCTGGTTGCCCAGCTCACGAAATGGGGCGAGGAGAATTTCTTAGAACCACATGAATCCACGGAGTCACCGCAACAACGTCCGTGTTGCTGTCTTGACTGACTTTTGGCCCCAATTTGGAGGGAAGGCGGTCGCACCGGTCCGTTTTTGCACAGGAGCAATCGTAGCTGAAGTGATGGATGACAGTGCAGTCTCGTGCTGGTAAAACATTACGCGAAGAGACCATAATAACCGATCCTCCACCAGAAAGCTTGTGGGGCCTGCCAAACAATTTCCATCTCAATCTTTGTCCTCGTTCTCGTCGACTGCCGCTGGAACAAACGCGGTCACAATTGATTCTGATCTTGAGAACGGTGCTCGACACCAACCATCATGCTTGACGTCAATGATATTCAGCGATGATCAACGTCAACGATCCTATCAACGATGCTCGACGTCAACGATCTCGATTCTCGACGTCAAAGAGTCTCACCGATACTTGACGCCAACGATTCTCACAACAATGTTCTACGCCAACGAATCTCAACGATGCTCAATGTCAACGATCCACGACGCTCGGCTTTATCAAATCCTGACAACAAAGCTTGACGTCAACGAGCCTCACTGATACTTGACGCCAGCGACCCTCACAACGATGCTGGATATCAAAGATCCTCAGAACGATGCTCGACGCCAACGGTGCTCGTCGTCAACGATCCTCACCGATGCTTGACGTCAGTTGACGATGCTCAATGGTGATGGGCGTCAACGATCCTCAACGACGCTCGACTTCAAGGGTCCTTACGACGATGCTCGGCATCAAAGAGCCCCACGATGCTCGTTGACCTTTCTCACAGAGATGCTCGTCGTCAACGATCCTCAACGATGCTCGACGTCAATTGTGCTCAACGATGCTCGACGTTAACGGTCCTTACAACGATGCTCGACGTCAACGGTCCTTACACCGATGCTCGACGTCAACGATCTTTACAACGATACTCGATGCCAACGATCCACAACGACCCTGGACGTCAGCAATGCTCAACATCGACGATGGTCCACGTCAAACGATCCTCAACGATGCTCAACGCCAACAATGCTCAACGATCATCAAAGATCCTCGATGCCAACCATCCTCAACAAATCCACTTCGTTGTCAACGATCCTCAACGATGCTCGACATCAATGGTGCTCAACGATGCTCGACTTCAACGATCCTTACAACGATGCTGGATGTCAGCTATGCTCAAAACGTTCCTCAACGATGCTCAAGGCCAACGATCCTGCCAACGATGCTTGACGTCAATGATCCTCACAGCGATGCTGGACGTCAAAGATCCTCACAACGATGCTGGACGTCAACGATCCCCATCGATGCTTAACGTCAATGATCTTCACGACGATCGTCGACATCAACCACCTTGGCAACGATGTTGGCCATCAATGATCCTCAACGATGTTCAACGATGCTTGGTATCAACGCTGTTCAACGATGCTTTACGTGAGCAATTTTTAACGATGCTTACGGGCAATGATTCCGACAACATTGCTCTACATTTCAACGATTTTGGCTGTTGGTATGTCCGTACTTAGGAGGAGAAGACACGCTTTAACCCTCTCTGATTAGGCACCCGCGGGAGCGAGGAAAGGAAGGAAAGAAGTGGCCCTCCCGAATTCGGGGAGGGGGGCCCACACATAGTAGCCTTTTTCAGGCATACGCATGCTCCTGTCTACGTACCCCCCCGTGCTGCTAGCAGATCTGCCATGCTCGTATCTAGACACACGAACACCCTCCCCGGTTCGTCAAGCTATTGACAAACCATCAGCGGGGCATGGATACTCCAGATCTACTTAATTTACTTATACAACAACGGGTGAAAGGGAAAAACTTGGCCATCCGGATCAAAAACCCTCGCCTACAAACTCAAAACATAAAAGAAACCGTCACTATCACGAAGGATTCCAACGGCCGCACTATCAGGGCAGGACCAAGGCAGGACAGATTGGACAGGCCACGCTGATTACACACCCGAAGC